AATGTTCTCCCATGTAAACTATCAAATAATTCACAATAAAACATTAAAGAAAAAAAAAAGATATAATGCCAACTGAAAAAAGAAAAAGAAAATACCATGATTGGGGCAGGTGCACTTTGGTCCTCAAAGTGTTATTTTTGTTTTAACACTTTTAAAAGGTCTTTTACAGCAGATTTCCCCAAAGCAGTATTTGATTTATTGACATCTGCTTCCATGGACATTGATTATGGATCCAAGTAAAATGAAATCCTTGACAACTTTAAATTGTTCTTCATTTCTAGTGATGATTTTTATTGATTCAGTTGTGAGGATTTTTGTTTTATGTTAAGGAGTAATCCATAGTGAAGGCTGTAGTTTTTGATCTTCAACAGTTAAGTGCTTCAAGTCCTCTGCTTTCAGCAAGCAAAGTGGTGTCATCCCGGTATCACAGATTGTTAATGAGTGCCCCATCCTTCCTTTATCGAATCCAGCTTCTCATATTATTTGCTCAGCACACAGATTAAGTATGGTGGTGCAAAAACTGAGCACCAACCCAATTCTTCTCACAGCCCTCTCTACTCCACTGGGCTCAGTATTCCTTTGTAATGACTACGCAGAATGCAAAGACAACACTCAAAGTTACAGGGTTGATTAGGGACGGTAACAGTTTACTATTGCTCAGGGCAGTTTTTCCAGTCAGCTTCTAATAAATGCCCACAGGACACACCTGAAGGCACTCAGCTCTAGCTCCATGGGTCAGCCAACCTAGCTCCCCTACTTAAGTGCCCAGAGGCAGTGCATGCTTTAAACAAGCTTCTGGCCCAAAGTCACTCAACTTTACTTGCTTCGTGGGTTAGGAAGCCCACTACTCTGTGTCTATGATCTGGTTTTTCGTTCTGTTGCTGTTGCTCCTCTGCCACTCCTCCAGGGTCACAGCTTTCTGATCAGGAGGTTCAAAGTGCAGGGATTTCGGGGTCCAAAAGACATACTCCACTCCTGACTCTTCTTTGATGGTAGTGAGACTTCCCCTCATGCTTCTGGGATAGTTCATTTTATACCCATTCTAGAGTTTCAAGTTTCTACAATTACAATAAACTGTGCAACATCCACAGCTGAATGATGTCATCCTATCAGCATCTTCTCCCGCCTTCTCTTACCCAAACCCAGCAGGGCAGAAACATTGTTTGGTGGGAGTTACAGACTATGGCTAAAAGAGACACCACAGGTGGTTAGGGCAAACTGCTGCAAGTCCATAGCCTGATTCTCTTTAGCCACAGTGGAGACATTTGCTATCTTAAAATGTCAGTGGTAGAAAAGGAAACTTAGTACTTTGGTAGGTTTCTTCCATCTGTTGTTGTTGTAGCTAAGGACCGCTGAGTCGATTCCGACACATAGCGACCCTGTATAGGGTTTCCAAGGAGCAGCTGGTGAGCTTGAACTACCGACTTTGTGGTTCAAACGTCTTTGCAGCCTGACCCATTAGTCCACAGCGCCTCACCAGGACTCTATTATCAAGTCCTGATAATTCTTGAAACTTATTATCTTCTCAATCAAAGGTTCTAATTTTCCCTTACCTGAATATCTAACCACAGAGGAGAATAGCAACAACAATAAAAACAAAGTCAGTGCCATCCAGCTGATTGCAACTCACAGCGACACTGAATTAGGTTTCTGCGGCTGCAAATATTTACAGGAGCAGAAAGTCCGCTTTCTCCCACAGAGTGGCTGGTGAGTTTGAACTTACAACCTGTGGTTAGCAGTCCAGTGCTTATCCTATAGCACCACACAAGGACTCCACACTACTAGGAAGAGAGACCAATTTCTCTTTTCTTTTTCCAGTAAGAACTCAATCACCAATGGCTTCCAGAAAGCCTAGAATCAATTTTACTGTGGAGTAAATTTTACTCATTCCATATTCCTGCTATAATTATTATTACTATTGATGACAGTTTTATTGAGCAATAATTCACACAACATACACTTCACTCATTTAAAGAGTATCATTCAATGATTTTTAGTATGCTCACAGAGTTGTACAAACAGCATTACCATTAATTTGGGAACATTTTTTATTACCTCCAAAAGAAAACTGATACGTTGCAGCCACTACACCGTATCTTCGCCTAAGATACTTCCCTAGTCCTGCGCAACCACAAATCTGCTTTCTGTCGCTATGTTGTTGCTGTTAAGTGCCTTCGAGTTGGTTTCGACTCTTAGTGACCCTGTATAGGGTTTCTGAGGAGGGACTAATGAATTTGAACTGCCAACCTTAAGGTTCAAACTGACCTTGTGGTCCGGTGTTTTATCACTCAGCGCCACACCAGAATTGTCTCTATGTTGTTGTTGTTTTGTGCTGTGGAGTCGGTTCCGACTCATAGAGACCCTGTACAGGGTTTCTGAGGGGGCAGAAAGCTTCATCTTTCCCCCATGGAACACCTGGTAGTTTCGAACTGCTGACCTTGCGGTTCGCAGCCCTATTCGTATAGATGTGCCTATTTTAGATATCTCACATAAATGGAATCATGCAATATGTGGTCGATTTTTGACTGGCATTCACTTTCACTCAGCATACTGTTTTTAAGGTTCATCTATTTTGTAGCATATATCAATACTTCAGAGTCCTGCTTTGGTGCTGTGGGTTAATGCACTGGACTGCAAGGTCAGATAGAACCACAAGGTTGGCGGTTCAAGCTCACCAGCCACTCCTCGGAAACCCTATACAGCGTCACTGTGAGTTGGAACCAAGTCTACGGCACTTAACAACAACAACAATCAATACTTTATTCCTTGTGGATATACACATTTTGTTTATCCATTTATTAGTTGGCAGACATGTTTCCACCTTTTGGCTATTATGAGTAATAACTATAAACATTCATGTACAGGGTCTCTCAAGTACCATGTGTTTCTTATTTCTCTTGCGAATATACTTTCAAGTAGGATCACTGGGTCATATGATAACTCTATGTTTAATTTTTAAGGAACTGCCAAGCAGTTTTCTAAAAACAGCAGCAGTAGTTTACCGTTTACCAGCAGTGTCTGAGCGTTCCAATTTCTTCATAACCTTGTTATTTTCTTTCTTATGCTTTTTTTTAAAAAAAAAATTGCTATCTACCCTACAACAGTGGGTATAAAAAGCGGTATATCATGTGGTTTTGATTTGCTTTTCTCTAATGATTAATGAAGTCAGGCATCATTTCATGTGCTTATTGGCTATTTGAACTTCTTGTGGAAAAATCTATTCTCAGATCCTATGCCCATTTTTAAATTAGATTGTCTTTTTTATGACCGAGTTGTAAGAGTTCTTTATATATTTTGTATACAAGTCTCTTATGGGATATATGACTGGCAACCCATTCTATGGCTTGTCTTTTCCCTTGCTTAACAGTATCCTTTGAAGCACAAGTGTTTTTTAATTTTGATGAGGTCCAGTTCACCTCTTCTTTCTTGTCTCTTTCTTCTTGTGCTTTTGGACATTCATTTCTCATAAACAAAATGAAATCTCATTTGCTCCCCTTTTCTTTCCCCACAGGCATCAACTGTCATGAATTTGCTTTCTTTTTAACGATTCAGTCATATGTTATGATTTAACATTGAAAACTACCCTACAGTTGCTTTAAAAGAGTAAAAGTAGACCCTTGCATATCACAAGCAAAGAACCAGAATTAGAAGAATTCACACCACTTACCTGCAACAGGTAACAATCAGTGCAATACCCAGGATAAGTAAAAGCCCACCTCCTGCTGCTGCAATCACCACCGTGATGAGTTGATAGGCTAAACATAAAAACACACAGAAATAAAAGCGTGGATTGGTAAGAAGCAATGAAGAAATGTCCAAGTACAATGGTTCCTCCAACACACACACACATCCCCCCCGCACCTATCACCCTGCCTCAGTTCATGAGCTCACCTTCCACTTCCTGGGCCCCAGGAAGGACTCCTCAACATCTCTGTTGATGCACGGTGTTGTGTTAGGTGTTGTTGAGTCAATTCTGATCTCTAGAGACCCCATGTGACAGAACCGAACGGCCCCATAGTCTGTAATCTTTATGGAAGCAGATGCCAGAGCTTTCTCCTACAGAGCCACTGGGTAGTTCAAACTACCAACGTCCTGGCTTGTTGTTGTTGTTATGTGCCGTCGAGTCAGTTCCAACCCATAGCGACCCTGAACAGGGTTTCCGAGGCTGTAAATCTTTACGGGAGCAGAAAGCCTAATCTTTCTCCCGCAGAGCAGCTGGTAGTTTCGAACTGCTGACCTTGCGGTTCGCAGCCCAATTCATAACCACTACACTACCAGAGCGCCTAACGCCCTGGCTAGCAGTCAAGTATTTCATTATTGTGCTACCAGGACTCCTAATGTTGCCTCATGGAGCTCTGCAGCTGTCTACCTATCCTGTTATTTAAATAGCATGGAGAGTTCCCCTTTCCTAGCCACTCCTAGAATGGTGCCTCCAAGTCCTAGTGTGGTGCTGTAGGATAAGCACTGGACTGCGAAGAACCGCAAGGTCAGTGGTTTAAACCCACCAGCCTCTCCTTGAAAACACTATACAGCAGGCTCACTATGAGTCAAAACCAACTCAACAGCACTTAACAACAAATACTACCAACAGACCCATCCCAAATGGCATTTTCATTCATCTATAGATGGTTTTCTACTCCCGTAAGGATTTACACCCTCGGAAACCCTGTATAGGGTCGCTATGGGTCGGAACCGACTCGACGGCACTTAACAACAACAACAATAGATGGTTAGAAGAGAAAAATAGAGGCAATGTCATGAACTTTTCAAAAACTAAAATTGTTTTGTTCTAAGCTTTTATCCTTTTCCTCCTACCTGTTTTCTTTCTTCCCTCACTTGCTATGGTTGTATTTTTCTTTGTGAAAATTATGTCTCAGTGAAGTTGATTTTTAAAAGTAATGGAGAAAACAGAGGATTTTTTTCTTGACCACTTCCTACCCTTTGATATTAATTGTCTTTTAATTTTTGAAATTGAGTGGATAGAAAAATTCTTTATTTGGCTTTAGGCTCTTTCTTCAAAAAATAAAAAGGAGGCACGCCTAGGTTAGACTCCACAAATGTAGAAGAAATACAGTTCAAGGAAACATGGACTGGAACAGTCATGGAATCGGTCTATGAACTTTCTGAAGCCTCCTGTATAACTGGTTAAATCTGTGCAAACTAGGTACCGAGTCAGTCCACAATAAATACGTATTGCACTTAGTTATCAGAAACCAGGAGTCACAAACAAACACATAACTAATATGAAAAACGTTATGTGGTAATGCTCCACGCTGGAATAGAGCAGCAAGACTGTGGATTATCTATTGCATCCCCAGCCTGTGACTGGCAGGGGAAGCAGAAATGACAAGGTGACCTTGTATGGCAACAGTCTGGTCTTTGCTTTGATCTTATTCACAGCTAAGTAAAGATGGTTCTCAGCTTAAAAAAAAAAAGTTAGCTGGTTTTACTCTTATGCACTTCTGGTAAAATTATATTCTCAATATATTCTATTTAATGGCAATCCTTTAAAATTTTGATATTGATTTCTTGTGGAAATAGTTGTGCTCTTTCTTGGGTTGCAAGACCCAGGATGAAATATGGGCCAAGATCTCATCCCTCTTCTGCTCTCTTCACTAAGCTCCTGATCCCATGAGGCTGGCTGGGAGTCAACATCTGAGGGGAACAGACTGAGGTAAAAGCAAATACAAGTGGTGCACCTGTCTATCTGTCCTTTTAATTCGATGGTATAGAACTTGATAATAACGGAACACCACCAGTCTGAAGACATACTAGAGACAAAGCTCCTGTCAAGATACTACTGTCAAGTTGATTCCAACTCATTGTGACCCAACAGAACAGAGTAGAACTGCCTCACAGGGTTGCCACAGCTGTAAATCTTTATGGAAGCAGACTGTCCTATCTTTCTCCCACTGAGAAGCTGGTGGGTTTGAACGACCACCCTTAAGGTTAGCAGCCCAGTGCTTAACCTGCTGTATCATCAGGACTCCTTATACATGGAGAGGAGAGGCTCTAGCTCCTCTCTGGTTGTGCGGGGGCGGTCAGTAGGGGAAAAGAACCCACTGAAAACACACAGAACCTCTCAAAGGGTGATGTATAAAAAGGCACACTGTGAATATAAAAGAGGAATGGGTAAATATGTCTGAAACCAGGAAAAGGTAATCTAGAAAAAGTATATGAGCTCTATAATCACAAAGTAACAATAACCATCAAACAAAGATAGGGCTTGTTGTTGTTATGTGCCGTGGAGTCAGTTCCGACTCATAGCGACCCTGTACAGGGTTTCCGAGTTTGTATATCTTTACGGGAGCAGAAAGCCACATCTTTCTCCCGCGGAACAGCTGGTAGTTTCGAACCGCTGACCTTGCGGTTTGCAGCCCGATTCATAAATATATGGCTTAGAGGGTGGCAATATAAGAGCTTTTTCAAAGCTAATGTGAGGGGAATGGTTAAATAAATTATGGCATTATCTATAGGGAAGAATTCCATTGTTGTTGTTGTAAAGTGCCATCTACTTGGTTCCAACTCTTAGCCACCCTGTTTCTGAGGAGCTGCTGGTGGGTTTGAACCTCTGACCTTGCGGTTAACAATTCAGTGCTTATCCTACAGAGACACATCAGGACTCCATTGTTATTGTTGTTAAGTGTCGCTGAGTCAATGCTGACTCACAGAGACCTTGTATAGGATTAAAAAAAAAAATTGTATCTTAGCCCCCTCGTTCTGAAAGTAAGCACACTCTTGAAAGCTTGTAAGTCAGCCACTTCATGTCTTTACGTTAAGTGCTGTCAAGTTAGTGCTAACCCACAGTGACCTTGTGTAGGGCTTCCAAGAAGTGGCTGGTGAGCTTGAACCACTGACCTTGTGGTTCAAACTGATTTTGCAGTCCAGCGCATTAGCCTACAGTGCTACACCAGGACTCCTTTACAGCCCCCCACTTTTGGTAGCCAATGTCTAAGTTGCTCATCTCTATCAACCTTGTGTACTGAGAGGATAGGCTTGATCCTTGATGTGAAGAATTCTTCCCTCTTGGTTGGAATTTTGAGCAATTACATCCATAAGCAAAGGTCCAGTTAATCAAATTGAAGCAATTTACACTTGCTTCCCGTATCAAACTTCTTTATCATCTGCTAGTCAAGTTCTGATTATTAAGCCATCCAAGATAGGTTAAATGGGTACTATCTGCAAGTTTGGGCATTCTTTCACGCCTCCCCCGCACTTCAGACCACCGGCTGCTTCACTCTCAACTCTAGCCCCCAGAGACTAGGTCAGTGTTCATGGACTCAGGAGTTTACACGTCTTCCTAAACTTCAGACCAGCCAGCTTTTCCTCTTCTCTCTCATCTCAAGATCAGTGGGTGTCTCTGGAACATGGCTAAACTCAGCCCATGCCCTCATTGCTGCATTTCCTCCACTTCCACTCACAAGTAGACCAAGGAGGTCACCAGCGAGCTTGCAAGCCTGCCCCTGTGTTTCTTTTGAGTTTCAGTCTTGGTTTAACTAGATGGGTTGACTTTTCTTGCCTTAATGACTCCCAGGCAAATAGCTTGCTTGTTCTTGTAATGGCCAGTCTGCTTTTCTTATTTCCTGCTGGTCTTTCAAGAAGTATCTTCTGTTTCTCTAGCCACTCTGGATTGGTCTGCATGTCCTTTCAAGTGTGAATGTCCCACTCTCAGAAGGTTCTGGGTGTAGTATAGGGTTTTCAAGGAGGGACTGGTAAATTTGAACTAACAGCCTTGTGGTTCAAACTGACTTTTAGTCCAGCACTTATCCCACCATGCCACACCAGGACTCTTCCACAGGACTATCAAAAGTGACATTATAAAATTATGTAAATGAAAGCATGCCATTGTTTATTAGGTTAAAAAAATAGGCGGCAAAACAGTGCACTCAGGGAGATCCAATCTATAATTTCTATCTAAAATCTATTCACATACATATTCCTATAAGGAAATATAACAGTGTTTCTCTCAAACCTTAAAATGCATACAAATTTGCATAGAAGCTGCTTAACCAAAAGGTCAACAGTTAGAAACCACCATCCGCTTCACAGGGAAAAAATATGACAGTCTGCTTGTCCACCGAATCCCTATGGGGTAGTTCTAATCTGTCTTTTAGGGAAACTATGAGTTTGAATCAAAATGGCGGAACTGGGTTTGGGTTGATTTTCGGTAGCACTCCCCAGCATCTAATGTCTAAACCACTCAGCCTGAAATAAAAAAACCCCTGCAGCCTGGTCTCCACATAGTTCACCAACCCAATTCTTAATTCCCCTCCTTCCCTTCATTCTTCATTTGAGCCACATCTCTCCAAACATTGTCTGTCACCAGAACAATACCAACCCATCCCTGCCTCAAGACCTTTGCTTAACTGGTTCCCTCTATCTGGGCTTTCTTTCTCCCCTCATACCTCATTTACTGTATTAATACTCTGGTCAGCATTAGCACAGTCAGAGTTATTTAGAAATAGTAGCCCCTAAGCCTCTAAGAGGTGTCCTGGTGTGGGCTGTGGGTTAATGCACCAGACTGCAAAGCCGTTTGAACTGCAAGGACGGCGTTTCAAGTTCACCAGCTGCTCCTTGGAAACCCTATACAGGGTCACTGTGGGTCAGAATAGACTGGACGGCACTTTACAACAACAGTAAGCCTCTAAGGAACAACCATCAAGTCTTTTACCTTTGTTTCCCCTGTACTACCTAGCGCAGGATCTGAGAATGTAAACTGAAGGAAGCTGGAGACAGACATCCTATGTGTTAATGACGGCCCAAGTGGGGCTCTAGAGTTTTGTCTACTTACGGTTTCCACAGTTGAGCCCACCAAGGCCAAATGGACAACTGAAAATCAACATCAACAAAAAGAAATAAGAATTAGTTTCAAATCTCAAAAGTAATTAGGTAATTCACTGTAAGTAATTTCCAAGTAAGGTTTGTGACAAATTCATCAGAAAACATGAACAAGGAGCCTACCTCATACAGGTTTCATTTTCAAGCCTATACCCATCTTCACATGCTGAAAGAGAAAAGAAAAATCCATGAATCATCTGTTTACCTCCCTCTGTCCAAACTCACAGTTAATTAAACTCCAGTCATCCTAAAGTCCACAGAACATGCTAGAATCAGAAGCTACAAACAGCTTTAGGAGTATCTAAAACCTGCAGAAATACTGTTATTAGGTCAAATCTTTCTTAAACTCTTTGTGGCTCTCAGTTTCCCATATGTGAAAAGAGGACAATAATAATCTCATAAATTTCTAGAAGAGGATTAAGAGAGATATAGTACATAAATGGCTTAGCACAGTGCGTAACACATAGTAACCACCAAGTATCTGTAGCTGTAATTATTGTTAAGTGCTAGCAAGTCAATTCTAACTCACAGCAACCCTGGACAGGGCTTCTGAGGAATGGCTGGTGGGTTTGAACTGCTGACCTTGTTGTTAACAGCTCAGTGCTGATTTTACAGCGCCATACCTGTAATTAGAAGTAGTAGTTACGTGCCATCAAGTCTGCACCAACTCATAGTGACCCTGTGCACAACAGAAGGAAACACTGCCTGGTCCTGGGCCAACTGCAAGGCCTGAGCCCATTGTTGCCGCCACTGTGCCAATCCATCTCATTGGGGATTTTTCTCTTACCCTCCATCTTACCGAACAGGATATCCTTCTCCAGTGTCTAGTCCTTCCTGATAATATGTCCGAAGTATGAGATACAAAGTCTGTCCATCCTGGCCTCCAAGAAGCACTCTGGCTGCACTTCTTCCAAAATGGATCTATTGGTTCTTTTGGCAGCCCATGGCACTTTTCAATATTCTCCTCCAACACCATAACTCAAAAGTATCAATTCTTCTATGGTCTTTCTTATTCACCGTCCTGCTTTTGTATGCATATGAGGTTATTGAAAATACCATGGCTTGGGTCAGGTGCACCTCAGGCCTCAAACTGACATCTTTGCTCTTCAACACTTTAAAAAAGGTTTTGTGCAGCAGATTTGCCTAATGCAATACGTCGTTTGATTTCTTGACTGCTGCTTCCGTGAGTGTTGATGGTTGATCCAAGCAAAATGAAGTCTTTGACAACTTTAATCTTTTCTCTATTTATATGGATGCTG